AGCACAGCACAGCACAGCACAGCACAGCACAGCACAGCACAGCACAGCACAGCACAGCACAGCACAGCACAGCACAGCAAAGCACAACAAAGCACAGCTTACCTGATATCCATCACCATCAAAGAGATATGAACATTCAAGAAACGTTTGCTATAGAAACGAGAAAACTGTGTTACAATATGTGGTTTAATATGGGGGAAACATAACTGATGAAAGAAATAATACTCAAGGGAATGATGTGGTCTGAGATGGGCAAACATTACCGATGAAAGAAATATTACTCGATAGAAAAACATGTGGTCTTACTTTGCATTCTTTACAGAGGCCGCCCTCAAACAATGGATGTTTGGCACAGACTTTGAGATCCCCACAACCTAAACATATTTCTAAAGTAAATAGTAAAATAAAAATGCAGTCAAAGACATATCTTCATTACGGTTCAAGAAGGACACTGAAAAGAGCTGGGAGTGTGTGCCACGCGCGTTTTGGCGCGAAAATATTCCCGCCAAAATTAACCGGAAGTCATGAAATATTCATACCTTCTAGCTTCCGTTTTCCGTCCAATACTTCATCAAATAATGCTGCAGAGACAATAAGAAAATCTATGTTTACTCCTTGACCCTTTACCATCTCATTGAAAAAACGACTGTTGAACGTTTGACCACAACACCGAGTACTGAAGAAGACCTAAGCGTTGGTCGAAAATTCTACAGGTCTAGAAAGAACTTTGTGTTGTGTTCAAGAGCTCAACATTTTTATAAATTTTCTTCTCACACATAATGGCGTATGTATTAAAGGATAAAACCCGTGATAACGCGACGGTGGTGAGACGCGACGTGTGTAACTGTAGTTTTGTATCACGGATTAAAGCGGATGATAGACTTAGTGAGGTACGCTACCTTTGACATCACTGGCGAGGTTTGGTTCGTTAACTGGTTTACCAAAGCGAACCTTTGACTTGTCTGCTCCGTCAGATTCATCATCAGCATCATCATCTTCATCGCTATCAGATGGTATTACTGAGCATCGAACGTTCATCTCCTCTAACAACAAATTATCATAAAAGCAAATAAGAAAAAGTGAAAACCTTGTGCCCAAGCTAAAATGGTCTTTTTGCCCCAC